ACAACAGCAATATGCAGAGAATAAGAGGAAGCGAGATGCTAATGAAATACAAAGGGTAAATGAGAAACGACAGACGAGCTCAATCGGCAGGTTGAAAGAAAGATAGGGGGTTAAATGGTGCCAGTGGTTTGATACTCTGCTAACGTTCACACGTGTTATCTAAATCTTAATGTTTTATTTTTAAAAACTAACTGGTGACAATATTTGTGATTAATTACTCTGCAGTTGTTGTTGAAAATAATAAAATTAAGTTTTTAAAAAGTTAATTTTTAGTGAAATTTAAATAAATCTATGTATTTTTTAATTTTAGTTTCATTATAACTATTGTATATTTATAGTATAGTTAAATTATAGAGAAACGTAGACTGATATTGCGCTGCACAAGTGTCTTAACTACAATAGGTTGTTGAAAATAAAAAAAATAATAAATAAATAAATGTAAGTGATATTGGGCAATATGTGTTTATGATTAATGTAATTAAAGTATTGTAAAAAAGTGAATAATAATAATGCAGTCAACTTGCCAACCACATCAGCCTCAACAACAAAATGCTACTTCAGCTAATAATCGTACTTCCTTTTTAATTGAGGATATTCTCAGTCGTGGTAGTGTTGACTCTTCTGGGCATAATCATCCAGGTCAATTGCATCATCAACTAACATCAGTACATAATCAACATCATCAACAATATCAACAATTAACTAGTTTTTTACCAGGTTATCCTGCTGGACCACCAGCCGCAGCCTTTTTTCTTGGACCTCTTTTTAGTACCGCGAGTATGGGTGTTGGTATCGTTCCAAGCACGGGCGAGTACTCGGCTTTAAAAAATTGTCGCCGTCGGAAAGCCAGAACTGTAAGTAGATTTTATCTTTTATCTTTTATTTTTATATGTCATTACAGGTCATTTAAAAATGTGTTACTTTTGTCATTAATTTCATTTCTTCATAAGCGGTTTCGATAAACATTATGTCAGTTATATTGTGCCCGAGAATAGCGCATTAACTGCATATACAGGAGAACTCCTATTAATTTAAGCTTTTCTAATTCGATTTTGATGGAGAAGAAAAGCTATTCTTATCTTCTTCTATTCGTTTACTAGCAAAAGTACAATAAATTTGAAATGTAAGAACTTTCTGTTCCGTAATTTTAAATTCCTAGATTGGTAAAAAAATTAACTTGATTCAAGAGACAATAATTTGGACCAAAAACATCATTTTAAAATTTATGATTATTTTTCAAGCAGAGAAATTCTTAAACTAAAAAATTTATCTCGATTAAACTACATTTGTTTTAATTCAAGATTTTTTCTGCTCAATTCAAGATCATTGAACTCGTCAAAATAATGTTCTTGTTCCAAGATTTTGTCTTTCGAATCAAGTTGATTTTTTTTTTATCAATCTAGGAATTCTACGCAAGTATTTTCGGAGAAATTGAAAGTTTTTCATGAAATTAGGTTCCAAGTGTTATGTAAAGGAATTTTTCTTTACATATTTATTAATTATAAAAAATCGAGTATAATTTTATTTAAATTTTAACGATTGTAAAAGATAATTCGAGTGTGGTCATTAAGTGTCTCGTTCGATCTTTGCAAAAGGCCCAGGGAAATTCCCGTAATTAGTCTGAGGGCCCAGGTATTTTAAAGAGATTAAATAGATAAATGGGAGTTTTGTTATACGTAAGCAAACTCACTTATACTTAAAATAAGAAATACTTAAAGATAAAGAACATTAGATAAAAAGATTTATTTTAAACCAAAAGATTTTAGAATAACTTATAATTACAGAATTTTAGTGTTGAGAAAAATATCGAAATAAATTTTAATAATGAACTTTCTAAAATAATTTTTAGACAACAAAATTAAATATGAAATGAAAAACAAATAAAAAAAAATAAAACTTGAAAGTTAAATAATTAAAAATAAACAAATTTTAAACAATTGAATTCTAAAATAATACAACAAATTTATAAAACGATAAAACAGAAATATTTCTACAAATAAATAATTAAATTCAAGGAAACGTAAGAAATGTTAGATTCGAGTACATATTTATTCATATGATTTTAATAAATAAATTAATGTAGACAGTACAAATGTATGTCTTTGTCTATGCGTAAATGCGCTTACGTATACACAAACACATAGATGAATAATAGAAAATAAGAGTAAGTGAAAAAGTATGTTGCACTCAGACCCAAGTACAGGGACTCATGCAACATTTTTAGACAAATTTAAGAGAAAGGGTAAGGGCCCGAGAAAATAGACAAATAATTGGAAATTTGTTTCCCCCAATGAGTGGAAATTAGTAAAGCCCTAAAATTCGAGACCTTGCAATTGTCACCAAAAAATCTCTCTCGTTGTCCTGACATCCTAGTGTTAACATCGTACATAGTTTAAATAAGTCTCAATAGACCACGTGTAAATCTATTGTACAAGGACCAAATACTTAAACACATTAAATATTTTAAATGTAAAATTAATTAATTACCCTAAATTAATATTTTTTACATAACACAAGGAACTGACAATAATTGACAATGTTAGAATCATATAAATTTGATTATTAGATGTATTTTAACGGCTATTATTATTTAAAATCATACATTTCTCAGACGTTTTTCTTATATTTAATAGTAATTGTAAATTTATTTATTTATTGAAGTTTAATTTTTTCATAATAAAATTTTATTGCGAAAAAAAATAGTTCCGAACAAAAATTTTGACGAAAGATAAATGAAGAACTGTGTCTTGACCTGTTACAATTGTTACCTGCTGATAAAAAATCTGAAAACCGGTTGAGTATGAAAATGAAAAAATTTTTTTCAAAAGATATGCAAACTCAAATTTTCGCGTTGTTTAGTTTTTCAATTTTGTTTTTGTAATATCTCGAACGCTAGTATAGATACATGAATGATCTTTCGTTTGTTTGAAAGGGGACACTTGGAGCTTAAATTTATCACAATTCAAAAAAAATATAATTTTTTCGTTACAATTTTTTTTTTTCAATGGGCCATTATGTCCCACATATCACATATTGGCCCAAAATATCTATTATTTAGGAAAACGCATTTGGAGTTATCAACCCCCGGTTATATCAAGCTGCTGCGATACGGATTTACAAAGATGCGTATTACTTTAAGAATAAATGTTCCAAGCTCTGAGGAAAAGGGTGAAAGATCACAAAGAACTATTGTTATGCATGTTTTTATATTATCAAAGTTCTCTACTGAATTGATATTTCTCAGAATTTTCTTCATAATCTACAGAAAAATGTTTATTTATTTGTATCACATGCTTTTGTTTCAAGACTATTAATGAACGTTGAAAAATTAAACGTAAGAGAATAATAGAAATACCCAACATGAATGGATTTTTTATAATTAGTGGGAATTTTGTTTTGAAGAAAACGATGGGATTTTTTGCACTTTCGTCTTTACTGTATTAGTATTGTTAGTGTTGTTGAAGAATACGGTAAAACCAATGGTTTAAAATTTACTCGATTTGAGTATAAAAAGACTAGAGTTTTTTAGTTTGTTACATTACAATTTTTCTTCGATAATTTATCGATAGAAGCAAAAGCATCATGGCTAGTACAACGACTCTTGCTATTTTAATGGCACTTGCTACTCAGACGGTAAGTTTAATTTTACTCATTGAGACACTCTTCCATAGATTACAAAGTTTTCAATAGATTAAAAAATGAAAGAGGTAAAAAAAAAGTAATTAAAATTTTTTTTGGACAGATCTACACAAACGCGGCTGCGTACGGATATGGCGGAGCAGCGGGGTATGGAAGTAGTCAAGGAAGTTCTCAGTCACATCATGATACTCATTCCATTGATTCGGATCGTTATCCTGAAAATGATGATTCTGTCCGACGACCGACTCACTCATCAAGAAACGACGATTCGGTTTGGCAAAGCAATGATCGTGATGAAAACTCACGTCAGCATGGACATGGTGGTTATCAATCAGGAAACTGGGAATCTGGTCGTCATTCTTCAGAAAATATTGAACGTGGCCACCAATCAGGATATGGTCAGCAATCAGGAAAGAGTAGCTATGGCCATTACTGAGCTTATTTATAAAGCTACTCCAAGTAAACAAATAAGTGTTTATAACTCAGCAAATATTTGAAAATCTGTATTCTAAAACATAACTATGACTATAATAAATTGAGCAATTAAATAATTATTTGACTAATTAATTTATTAAATCTAATTCATAATTAATTTTTTTAATCTTTATACTTATATTTGGCGATATTTCATAGTTGGTTAATTTTGAGCACTCTTAAATAATTTATTGCATTTATATGGCATCAATTCTTTAAATACTAGTTTTTAAAAATAGATCATGTTTTCAAGTCTCCTCTACCGATATAGCGGTTATATAAGCTTTACTGAACTAATTTTTTTTCGAAATGTTTATAGTTTACTCTACGATGACTGTCAGTTTTTTTTGCAGTTTTTTGATACGTCTAATACACTAAGGTAGTAAGACATGTGGAACTTTTTAAACAGTAGAACTCTAACCGTGTTAAATACGAGTTGTTACCAGCTTCTAGATATCAATGATGTGCTCGACTATGATCAGGATATTGTTCATATGAGGCTTATCAGGAGCTAGAATTTTCTCCGTGTAGATTTGATAGTTCATCATAACCCGAATACATAGGAGGTACTTGCTCGTAATTTGTATATTGAGCCAGTGTTTAAAAGTATACTGTTAAACCGAGATTATAACCGAGATTTTAAACTGATGGTTAATAAGCGCTCCCAGGATTTTTGAGCGATTAATCTTTCCCTGAAAAAGATGAATTTATCAGTCTAACGTTTTAATTTTGATTTTTGACACAAATATTCTCGATAATAAATATATCTGTTGTATTACAACGAAATTATGTTCGTTGCTTATAAGCATATGTATAAATCGAGTGGGAGTAGAGATACATCTCTACGTGCGGAAGTTTTCTTGTATGGGATTAGAGAAATTAGTTTTTTACCCTACTGTATTAGATTCTCTTCTTACTGGGAGAAAATTAAAGTAATATCATAGAAACTTACCACTTTTACTGCAAGAGTTATTTATAATTTTTTAATTGATAAAAATACACCTTCCCGACTAGAAATTTGAAAGTATAAAACCAATTGGGGCCTCATTGGGTTTCCCTCTTGGGTTCGCACATTGGGATGTCACGCAAAATCCTGTTGGGTCCTCATTGGGCGATCCCTCTTAGATCCCAATGGGGAAATCCCCATCAGAACCCAATTTAAATTTTGAAAGAAAAAATGTTATGATTTTCGGAAAAATTATGAATAATTCAGGATCAGATTCTCATATCATATTAAAACTCATTAGCGAATTTAATTTGAATTGAAATGGACTTACCGACTGAAAAAATCCTTGGCGTGAGAAGGGTTCGAACTCGAGCCCTTTGAGTCCTCAGTTTTTCACTTAACCGCTGGTTTAAGGATAAATACTGATAAGGAGAATTCTTATTTCGTATACATCAATTCAACCGGTCGGCTGAAACATTATTCATGTTATGCTCATGCTTTAAGAAATTGTTTTTTTTTTTTTTTATTCACTTTACTGACGTGAAAATACAATTTTTTTTATAAATTAAACACAAAATTAAAAAAAAATTTTTTTACAATAGGGGAGGGGGGGCGGCAAAATGGGCCCCTAGGGGCAAAATTGGAGATATTATTCCCATGCTCAGTGACATGCTCACAATGTCCATGATTCCTTCACTCACGTTAAATTTGTTGTTCATGATTGTGATTACTGCAATTAAAAACAAAACGAAGAGTGTGATGAAGATAAATTGAAGATTTATGTAGATTTCGGTGAGTGCCATCAAATAATCTGTTTTCTTTGTCAGAATTGAAGAGTGCGCTTCACGATACTGTGTCACAAAATCAGTTAATTTAAAATTTATATCAGCTAATTGGTTCTTGACGTTTTTCACATCATATTGACGATTGAAAAATTTTCCATGAAAACCGTATTCCATAATTTTAGAATCAAAATTATTTTCGAGGATTTTAATTGACGCTGTTACTTCCATATAATCAGGTAATGAATACAATCCGTCGTCTTTGAGCTTTTCAAAAAATTTCATGTACTCAATAATGGTTTTCTGCTTGTACTCTTCAGCTAAATTTTTTTCAATGATAGGGACCATTAATTTTATTTCGTGACCATCTAAGTGCTGAGTTTTATCAAAATAAATATTTTTATAGTTGTTCTTCAAATCTGTAAATCAATTGAGAGAAATAATTTAGCTTATACAATTGCATCGTAAGCTATTATATTATTAAACTTAATGATTAATTACCTTTTGGATACTGCAGACTGTATAGTGTCGACTTTGTTTTACTATTGCTTTTGGCATTTGCAATTATAACTTGATTCCAAGGTGGCGGAGCGTATTGTGTGAAAGGGTTCAGAGTATGTAGACCATGGTTGAATCTTTGTCGTCATCATAACACACATAGTATGATACCAATATATCAAAACTTCCAAGGAAAGCAAGAACCATAGAAGCGTTTCTATCATGCGTCCCTCCAGAAATACTCCCAGTTGTCACTTGGTCATCAACTAATAAATCAGAAGATATTATCAGTGGTTTAGAATTATTTGCAAAACCTCTATCAATCAATTCCATCTGCAAGAAAAATAAGTAATTTTAACAACGATTAACAATTATTTAAATTAAAAAAAAAAAAAAAAAAAAAAAAACGTTTGATCACGCTTGAGCTCAAGGCGTGCAAAATAAAATCAACTTACCGTATGATTGATAAGGTGTGATTTGATTTCTGAACTGTGAATGCGGCTTCCATTTGAAAAGTGACCAGTAAATACGCAACAGCAGCATAAAATAATATTAATCAGCCGTATCGTTAATCTGTTGATGATTAATTTAGAAAATAAATCATGCAGAATTAAAGATCAGAAATGTTTTGAAACTCTGAAGGCCGTTGAAGTATTTAAAAAAGTAACGATGATTCGTCTGACGAGCTAGCGACTTAGCAGTTTGAAGTTAAGTTGCCGACTGAATGCTTCGCAAAATGTATGACTTTGTTATGAATTGTTGTCCATGACAACTGCAGCTCACAATGTGGTAAAACATCGTTAAAGTTAGTGCGGAGCTTCGTGGAAAAGACACGTCAACTAGGCCAACCATTACTTGGTTCTAAAAAAAAAAAATTTTATTACTTTCATAAAACAGACTGGGGCCTCTAACAGAAATCCTGCTGCTGTAAAAACTATCGACCAAAAGTCCCTTGAGAGCTGTGCCCTAGCTCTTTCGTTCCTCTAATCTTCCATCGGTAAGCAAATAATATCATACATTACAAACTGGGCTGTCAGGTATTTTTATTTGGTACAACCAACGTGTCGATTTATTGAACAGGTGAAGAAATGAATAAAAAATAAAAATAAAACGGTTGACCCGGCCTTTCTTGAATAAATTTCCCGCTTTTTTCGAGAGACGCTCCTAATATTTCCAGTTGATTGATTTTTGAGCTTTGTGAGCTTAAAAATATAATTTATGTGTTATTTTAAGCTCTCCGAGCTCAAACAGTTACCCATACAAAAAATGAAGATCGGCCCGATACTGGGCCAAGACTGGTAACCGATCTTTAAGTATCGGCCGAGTATCGTGAAATATCGTTGGGCCAAGACTGGGCGAGCATCGGATGGTAACGCCCAGCCGATATAGGCGACTGAGCATCGGCCGAACATAGTAACCAAGCATTGGCCGAGCATCGGCCAAGCATAGGCAAAAAATCAAATTTTAGGTAAAATAATTAAAAAAATTTTTTTGTTGTTTATTTTTGAATTATTATTATTTTGAGCTGATGGACTACTGGTTGATAGAAACTAATTCTGAAAAAATCCGGATGTGAAGGGATTTGAACCTTTTTTTTTTTTTTAAAAAAGTTTTATTTTTATTTATCTCTTTCGTTACAATAGTGGATAAAATTAAACTTATAAATAAAAATCCTTATTTCTAGCTTTATTAATAAAAACATATAAATATATGGCCGTTGTTAGCGGCATCTCGATATTTTAAAATTCTTTGTACTTTGGTACTGTGATAATTATAGTCTTGGTTTGTTTGGAGATGATAAGTATTCCAGATCCGTCTCTGTTAGTAAATTAAATGTGGAAAAATATAATTTAAAAAAAACCACTTATACCATCTGTTAAGGGATTTGAACCTGGTCAGTCTGCGTGGAAGTCTCGAGCGGTGTCCCGGGCGCTTTTTTTTTTTAGTTTATAAATGTTTGTTTTATTGAACCCATAGAAAACTTACAATTATTCCTTAAAACTATTTAATGTTTAAACAAACTAAAACAAGCTTTAATTACATTTTTTTGATACACATAATGGCCAGGCTGGGCAACGCAATGCAGTACAACTTTCTTATAAATTCTTGCTCTTTCGAGGTCATTTCAGTTTTTTTTCTTTTTATTTTTTAATTGTATGAATAAATTAATTTTTTTCTATACTGGAGAAGGGTTAGTGTCCCGGGCGCTGCTAACTGATCTGAGTGTAGTGTTCTTAGTTTAATCATTTCAATGTTCATCAATCAATTTTTCTCAGTATAATTGAGTTAACTTGATTGTTGTTACGAATTTTTCTATTTATTTCATAATTAAACAATTTCTGAATTTTAATAATAAAAAATAACTTCTTAGTTTTTCAAAACTTCATTTTTTAAGCAAGAAGTTCAAAATTAATTAAAAATAAATGATTTATTAGTGAAAAAATATATATATTTATATTTGTATATTTTTATTTATATTCATAAATCTATTTGTAAGTAAATAAATCATTTATTAAAAATCATTAGTTTCTTGCTAAAATATTTTTTTTGAATACTAAAAGAAATAGGTTTAACTGATTGGGTAATGTAAAAATTTATCGAAAAAGTCCTCCAAAAAAATATTCATTACTTATTAAATCTGTTTTAGTGAAAATAAATGTTGATTTAATCTTAATAGAGCTTATTGTTGAATAATAAAAATGTTTATTAAAAACTACAAAATGATCAATATGATATTTATAAAAAAAAGCATTGTTTTTTTTATACTGTTTTTTATTTGTTTTCTTGTAATCTCCTACTAGGTGATTACCTACATATTTTGGTTAATATGTACGGCTTACCCGTTTTATCCTATATTTATTTTATGTACTTTATGTAGAAACTATTTAACTTCTATCGCAGGGATATATATTTATAACAAATATAAATAATGCTGTGAAGCGGGAAAGAATAGGAGTTACGGATAATTTATTACGTGAAGCGTTCCAACATTCACGTAACAGGATAATTGGTAGGAAAGGATTGAGAAAGGATTGTGGAGAGGATCATCTTAATGTGAGTGTATAGAATATGCGAGAAAAAATTATTAGATAGCTCGGACTGGGATTCGAACCCAGAACCTTCCGAAGACATGTCGGCTACTCTACCATTTGAGCTATCCGGTCTATACTAAATTTCTTTTCACTTATTCTATATACATTAAGCCACACCGTCCATCTTACGGCTAGCATTTTTAACAAATATAAATAATGCTGTGAAGCGGGAAATTATCCCAGTCACTTTTGTATACTCAACATTATCATTCCCGTTTCTACATATGTACATATAAACTATATGTACATATACTTTTATGTACATATGTAGATTCAAGTAACATCAAAAATATACATATATGTACACCCTTGGGTGTACATATGTATATGGGTTCATACCAAAAACAAATACACAGAGATTACAATTATAATAAAAATTAATATATAGAAATGAGTCTATACTAAACAAATAATTTAAATTGGTGTTTTCTCCTAAAAACATCTCGTAAGATATTTTTTAAAAATTGATTTACTAATTTTTAGTACATATTAGTTTATAATTTGGTCAAACGTTAAATTAAAACAATAATACAACATAGTAATGACTAACACGTATATTAATTGTTTTCAAGTATAATAAACAATTAACCAGAGCATCGGCCAAGCAATGGCTGATAATCAAATCACATACCATTATGTTATAATAAATATCATGCGGTAGCCGATAGCTTACCTAGATTCGGCCAGTACAAAACGCCAATGCTTGGCCGAACATTAAAGCCGATGGTTTACCGAGGCTAGGCCGATACAAAACGCCGATACTTGGCCGAGCATTAGCAGCCGTGCCTTGGCCAATGAACGGAAATTGTTGAGCATCGGCAACTTTGTATGGGTAGCTGTTCTAAGCTTTTGAGCTCTTCGAGCTCAAAAGTCTGGTAGCGGTTTACTAAAACACTTCTTAAAATTTTCAAACTGTAATTATTTTCGAATGAATCAACCGATTTAAACGCGGTTGGCAGCATTCAACGCAGTTTTTCGAATCCTAAGTCACATCCTAATTCACATTTTCCGAATTTTCACGATATCCCTTGATTGAATCAACCAATTTTCACCGGATTTGCGGCGATCGACGTAGTTTTTCAAGGTTAAGTGCTGATACGTTTTTGGAGTTGATCAATAGAGTCGTTTAAAAGTTATTCCAAAAAAACCACATTAAAAAAATATTTTTTTTTAGACTTCTTGAAATCTATCGGTCCGAATCGGTATAAATTTACAGGAAATCTAAGTTTGAGGGAACTCCTTGGAACGCTGTTTGGTAGGTTACGATGATCTAATGAAAATTCGATTTTTGCAAAACGGGGTAAAACCAATAATTTCCCGACCAATTACTTAGCGGGAAATTAAAAAAATTAAAAATACGACTGATCGTGAAAGCGAATTTTATATTATTACTTTAAACCATCTAAAATTGAAAAATTAATTTACAATAAAAAGATATCAAATTTCCTAAAATTTAGATTTTTTTCTAAAAATATAAAAGTTATATTAAATTATAATAAAAAATAAAATAATATTGGAATAGAGAAATTAAATAAATAGTACACGATTTAAAGTGACATCAAAAACTGTTTAAAATATAATTATACATTTCTATATATTTTTTCAGGTTTTCAGTGATCAACAACTCGCTGGCCTGGAAGCTCGGTTTGAAGCGCAAAGATACTTGAGCACACCAGAGAGGGTAGAGCTTGCGGCAGCACTCCATCTATCAGAAACACAAGTTAAGACGTGGTTTCAAAACCGACGGATGAAGCATAAAAAACAATTAAGAAAAATTAATAACAGTAACAATAGTAGCAATCTTTCAAATGGACATCAGAGTGGGCAATCATCGTCGGCGATGTCACCAGCAGGTAATTTGGTCATTTACATGTAATTTTTTTTGAAAAATCATTCTTCAAGGTAAAAGAAAAAATTTACCCAATTAAATTTTTAAAAAACTAACTTTTTCATTGAATTCGCATATTTTTTAATGATTTAACTGCATGAGAAAAACGATTACTTACAAAAAATTTTTAAATTTCATCATTTTAAATTATAAAATACTATTAGTCATAATATTTACATTGAGAGAAAAAATTTCTTTTGAAAAAAAATAGGCATTGTAAAAACAAAATCAAGATATTAATTCGTTGAAAATTTTATCTCTTAGCTGAAAGTATTAAAATTTTTCTCAAATAACTTTATTGTTGAAAAAAAAAAGTTTTTTTGATTTAGAAAAAAAAATTTTAAAAAGACAACTTGCAAAGTTTCATCTAAAATTGTTTTTTCTCTAATCTAAAAATTTTTTTTCAACAATAACGTTACTGTGGTTGCTTCAGCTAAGAAATAAAATTGTTAAAAATTTTCAACAAATTAATTTCTTATTACAACATTGCTCATTTTTTTCACAAGAAATTTTTTCTCTCAGTGTATTTCATATTACTTTCAATAATAAGAATTACGAATGAGTAAAAATAATTTCGTTATACCCTGAAAGTTCTTTGAATAACAGTTTTAATGTAACTATTAAATAGTAAAAGACGACGTGTGATCCATTCCTCCGACCAAACTAACCGCTGAGTCCTCCGATATCGTTAACCACTTTGCACCTTCGTCAATAAACCTTTCTCTTCCATGAACCCTCATATGTCTCACACACATTAACGTGTGTATGTATGTTATTTAAGTATAACAGTACATTGTGATAGTCGTTGCAAAAATTCCAAAAACGATAAAATCGATTCTTTAATTATATAGGGGTATTCTTTATCAACATATTTACTTATTACGTATAACTTCGTTACTGCTGAAATTGGTGTTTTTGTTCGTATTCAGAAGAATTCTTCTTTACATTTCTTGATTGTTAGTTTTTGATTTTTTGATTTTCAAAACTTACAATGGTTTTGTTTTAAAATATTTGTGACTTTTAGGGAAGTCAATAAAAATTACAATTCTCATGAGTTTCCAGTTTCAATTTATAAAAAGTCAATAGATTTTTTTCATAAAAATATATTTCAAAGTAATTTATGAATCCGCATAAATGTAACTGAAAAATTGAAACAGGAATAATTATAATTAACCTGTTAAGAAAAATCAGTCAATCACCGCTAACAAATTATAATAATTCAAGTCAGATAAAGAAAAATTTATCAAATCTGTACAAACGTTGAAGATAGAAGTACTGATTATTGTGATGATATAAATGTGTAGGATGTAAGGTATGGAATTATTCGTGATTCACCCATTCGGTTTAATAATTATAGATAACTACTCGACGCTTCAGAATACTCATCATGATTTGATGTCACCACATTGCATCTGTAACTCTATTTACTCGGTCGTAGCCAAGATGGCTCCGCTTTCTGTTGAAGGATAGCTAACGAAGTTAGTCGGAGACATCTTACTTGGCAAGAGTATCAAGAAGACGTGAATGCTACTACGATAGTCAAGGAGCATTAGGGTTCGTCTTTCTCAGGTAGCTAGTGCTACCAAGTTAACTCTCCAGTAGGTTCACTCCAGGATAGAGAAACAGAAGAGAAAGAGGAGAAATCAACCGAGATAGAAGTAGGGATAGAAACTTAGTTGACGTTCCTCCTTTAATTTTGTACTCTCTCACTCCCGTGGTAGTTTAAATCACAAACTTCCTTTCAAGATTGCTACTCCAAGTCGATTCGTGGCTCCTTCAAGAAAATTAGTTCATTATCAGCTAAGTGCTCGGCCACACCTATACTCACGAAATCGTTGTCAGGATCATTTACTCATAACTTGATACCTAGATTTTATGCAAAAAATAGAGTCAGTTATCATATTTTCATTTATTTTATAGTAATTAATAAAATCAATGATTTAATTTTCTTTTTTAGTAAAAACAGTTATTGAATTGACCGTACTAAAGTATTCAAAATTCCGTTCATTAATTTGTTTTTCATGTTAAATTAAACGCAGAACATAATTAAATTAATTAAAAAAATTATACTATTCAATTAATCTATATCTATTCGAATATATAACTTTTTAGTTTTTGACCTTTTTTTCTTTTTAACTAATAAATTACACTATGGATTGAAATTAAATTTTTCATAATGTACAAAGAATACACTCTGATAGAAATAATGGAGATACAGACAAAATACACATGAATAAATTAAAAAAACTTTTAAAAGTTAAAATAAAGCAATGAGGTTGTTTTTTTCTTCTACCATTTACTCTTTGAAATATAACATTAATTATAATCCAAAGGATAATAGTCAATTGATTTATAAAATAAATAAATTAAAATCTATATTACTCCATAAGAAGTTAAGCTCTATCTGAACACATAATCTGTTCTTAATTTTGTTTCTAATTTTTAAACAATAAGTTCCAAAGGGGTGAATAAGGTTTTAAGAAACTAAAGTAAATATTTTTGAATTAAATAATAATTAATTCTAATAATATTCAAAAGAAAAAAATCTTGAATGCGGACATCGTTTCGAAGAATTAGACCATTTTGATTTAAGCAGAAAAATTTTTTTTGGTTTAAGTAAATTTTGCTTGATTCAAGATGCTTTCTGTTACATTTAAAACAATCAGATTCTGCAAAATGATTTTATTAATTCAATAATTTTTTTCTCTTAAATCATATCAGTTTTTCTACCAGTGTACAAATCAATCAGTTAACTCCATTAATTTTATTTCATTTAACATGGCTAAAAAAAAATTGATGTTGAAAAATTCTATAGTTTTACTGATAATACTCGAAGAAAATCCAATTTTTAAATCATCAATAAAATATTTGATAAGTAATGGAAAAAACACAGAATATTCATTTTTCGAATTCCAGTTTTGAATGAAACTAATTTTATATTCATGTGCAATAATTAAATGATAATTAAAATAAAATTTAATAAAACGATGAAATACTATGGTTATATTACAGAAAGACCAGTGGATTTTTCGTTAAACGCTGGCCGAGAATCACGGGCAAGCAGTGATGCGGTGATGGATTCAGATTCAGATGAAATCGACGTTCTTGGTGATGAAACTCCGTTGCCTGTCCAAACATCAACACTCAATCAGCCGGTAAAGCGTTCGTCTTCATCTCCTTTAAATTTCCATCGGTCTTTACATTCGACTGTGAGTTTGGCGTATCAATCGCCTCATCAAAATCAGACACTTCAATCCCGTATTCATCGCTGAGAAAAAAAGTTATGTAAATTTTTATTTTCAGTTTTTAAAAACGGTATTCACATTCGAAAATGTCTCTTTAAACTGATTGATACTATAAACAATTAACTTCTATTTAAAAATAAAAATTTTTCGTTAATTTAGCATATACATCAATCAAATTATTAACGAAAGCCCAATTTACTGCATTATTAATTTTTATCTGAATAAAATACTAAAATATTTCATGTCAAATCCATTAGTCAGATATTTGTGATTTTTTTCATTATAACTTTTGAAAGTTGTCAATAAAATTAATTACAAATCCTTCTATATACACGGAAAAAAAATTACAAATAATATAATTCTCACTAGGTTTTTATTAATTAATAACAACTAGCAGTTTTTACAGTTTTTTTATATGAAAATTTTCAACATCTGCTATTGGGTAATAAATACACTGAGAGAAAAAAATTTTTTGAAAAAAAAATGACTAATGTTGTAATAATAAATTTATTTGTTGAAAATTTTCAACAACTTTATTTCATAGCTGAAGCAATAAAAATTTTTCTCACAGTAACTTTCTTGTTGAAAAAAAATTTTATAAATTTGAGAAAGAACAATTTTGGATGAAAATACACAAATTGTCTATCTAAAATTTCTTTTTTTTTTTTTTTTTTTTTCAAATCAAATGAACTTTTTTTCAACAAAAAAGTTACTGTGAAAGAAATTTTAATTTCTTGTCATAAAAATATCCATTTTTTTCAAAAAAAATTTTATCTTTCAGTGGACTATGACTTAATTATTATAATAATATGACTTACCGTTGAAATTGCTTTTCATTATACGGAAAGAAATAGTCGACAAGTTACAGTTTTGTACAAGAACAATGAAAATTTTTAGTTGTATTTACTGCAAAAATTAATTTTTTAATTTTGTTAATACAGGATTCAATTGTTATTTTATATAAATAATTTTGATGAATGTTTGGAAGTGGAGTTGACCCTATTTTTGACTATAATATGTCGAATAATAAATATGTTTAAATTATTATATTTCACGTTAAATTAACGATCCGAATCATTAGAACTATCCAGAATTTATTTCTGAATTAATTCTAAAGCTCTTGATGCTAACAACAATTTTATAAAAATTAAAAACTGTCAAATTTTCAATTTTTTCAGAAAAAAAATTTTAATCGAAAAATTGACATTTTTTTAAATCTTGTTTTTTTATTTTATAAAAAATTAAAAACTGTCAAATTTTCAATTTTTTCAGAAAAAAAATTTTAATCGAAAAATTGACATTTTTTTAAATCTTGTTTTTTTTTCTTTTTTATTCTATTGTTGATAGACATTAAGAAAAAAATACGTAATTGTTGGAAAAAAAAAAAAAAAAAAAAAAAAAAAAAAAAAAAAGCAAACTCTAAATAATATTTTTATAGGATGAAATATCGTGAATTCTACTTTCAAATAATCACATTTTTTTCCGTGTATAATTAATTGATTGAGATATCATTTGATAATTAATATTAAATACAAATTTTTGTTTTATTCAATTTTTCATTTCATTTTAATATTCATTATTAATTCCGAATTTATTAATTATTGAATATATGTTTATTATTTTTAACAACGCATCAGTGATCAAAAATAAAAAAAAAATGTATTAATTTAAAAGAAAATAGAAAAGTGCAAATACGTTTCCTAACGGCAGTGTAAATATATAACAAATGATGATAGTTTTAATTTAAAATCTAAAAGAATTTTGAACTATTGTAAAGGACTGACAAATTATATCTGATATATATATAAATAATAAAATTTTGTTTTCTTATTTAAAATATACGTTAATTAGTAAGTAACAAAACGAGTTAAGAATGTGAGTAATAATTTTAATGACTTTAGATACAAGTGCTGATGAACCTGTTGCGGTAAATAAAAAAAAATGTAGTTTATAACTTTTATTTTGATAGCAGGAGATAGATCTCGTATAGATATTGTAAATACTGATGGCGCCGAGGTAATTGAGAGCTCAGAACGCTGAGGAAGAGGAGATACTGCGGAGGCGGCGTTAGGAAGGATATGTCATGCTTCCAGTTGGAGGGTGAATCCTAATACCCAGATAATGGGAAGTAATTGCGAGGGATCAGAGCAACCGAGTACAGTAGCTTACTCTCCTGTCAGTTTATGAAGTGTGTAGAAAGAGCGTACGTGAGACAGACAACATAAAGTGAACAAAATGTATATATATATATATATATATATATATATACATCATGGCGTGGAAACGAATGAAGAGTGTCGACTGGAAGGGTAGCTTCGTAATTACGTTATCGGAACGAAATCACGAGGAACGGTCTCAAATACGAGATATCACTTGTCCGCTCAATCTATGAAGCGTGCATGCGTGTTTACATACAGAAATGCATGTGGATCTATACATCCAAGATAGGATAATAAATTTTTTTTAACTTTTCGCCTAGAAATAGTTGATTTTTAGGTTTATAAAAACTTATTTGTGTACATTATGGAAAAAAAAACTTTAAATATGTTTCACGCCTTATATCGACGGTCTAATTAGCAATTAGTCTAACTCCTTATTTTTTAGAGGTTGATTTTTTGACTTTTCGATGTAGTAATAGTCCAATTATAAATTATTTGAATGATTCTTAACTAAAATATTATACTTCTATTAAATATTAAATGGTTTTTTATATATCATTTAAGTGCTAATAAATTTCGAACTAATTGTATTTTCGTACAAATGGAAGACTTTCTAAAATGAAGTTAGACAATTTGCTAATTAGACCCGCATAAAAATACTATATATCGTTAAAAATATATTATACAATATATTGCAAATAAGTGATGAATATATGGCGGCAAAATTGTCTATATTGAAAAGTATAACTTTATTCTATATATTATTTTAAGTATAAGGTATCAATATATAAAAAGTTGTACCGATACACATATGGATCGTGCATACATGAAGCAATTATATTGATGAATATATAGTTTATACAGGAGAATAATATATTTATATTTACAATATATTTTTAACTTCCCGCTAAAAATCTCAGATTTTCAAAAATCGGGAAGTTATTGTTTTCACCCCGTTTTGCAAAAATAGAGTTTTCATCAGATCTCGACGTTTTAAGGTCATAGGAAGCTTCCCTGACTACCCCCGCGGTGGTGTCTGTATGTCTGTATGTGTGTGCTTTAGGGGG